TGCCAGATACCGAACGTGACTACGTCATTGAAGCAGACGCCAGTGATCAGGCCGTGGGAGCAGTCTTAATGCAAGACCAGGGGAATGGACTGCAACCAATTGCCTACCTCAGCAAGAAACTGCACGGGGCAGAACTCAACTACCCGATACACGACAAAGAGGCTCTTGCTATCATCATCGCCTTCAAAGCGTGGAGATGCTATCTCGAAGGACGAAGAACAACCGTCTACACCGACCACTGCAGCCTGAAATATTTGAAGACACAACCCAACCTTTCCAGGCGGCAGGTCCGGTGGATCGACTTCCTCGAGACACACTTCCACTACGACATCGTGTACAAGCCCGGCCACAAGAACAAAGCAGACGCTCTCAGCCGGCCTGCACACGTTGCCGCGATTCAGGTCGAAGGGATGAATCCACTACTCAAGGGACTCTTCACACACGGGTACGCCATCGACCCCGAAATTTCCTTGGCAGAAAAGCGACATCTGCTACAGTGGGACAGTGACATCGCGTACCGGAAAGGATCAACAAAAATCTGGGTACCCAATTACCCTCCTTTGCGCCAGTTACTACTCGAAGAGTACCACGACGTCCTCTACGCCGGACACTTCGGTAGCAACAAGACGCTGACCGGTATCGCAAAGCACTACTACTGGCCCCACTTAGCAGAAGAGGTCCAGAAATTCGTCACCTCGTGTGATACATGTCAGCGGATGAAGAGCAGCAAGCAGAAAAAGGCGGGACTACTGCAGCCTCTTCCTGCCCCAGAACAACCATGGCAAGTGGTTAGCCTGGACTTCATCACCGGGTTACCACCTACCTCCAGCGGTCATGACGCCATCCTTGTCGTCATTGACAAGTTGTCCAAAATGGGACACTTCATCCCGACACACACGACGGCACGCACCGAGGAGACAGCACAGCTCTTCGTTCGTCACATCATCTCACAGCATGGCATCCCAACTACACTCATCTCCGACCGAGACCCCAAATTCACTAGCAAGTTCTAGAAGGAACTTATGTCTCTGCTCGGCACCAAACTCGCCATGTCATCCGCATACCATCCGCAGACAGACGGACAGACCGAGCGCCTCAACCAAATTGTTGAGCAACTCCTCCGAGCAGCCTGCAAGCACGACATCTCCAAATGGGACTTGCACCTGCCTGTACTCGAGTTTGCTTACAACAATGCTACACATGCCGCTACTGGACAGACGCCGTTCTTCCTCTGCTACGGACGCCACCCACTCACACCACAAAAACCGACAACATCAGCTACAGTCCAACCCGCACATGATTTTATTACAGCCATGCACCAGCTTTGGGATCGGACCCACAAGCGCCTACTCGACATTCAACAGCAACAGAAGCGCCAAGCCGATCGCCATCGCAACGACCACACCATTTCCGTGGGAGACCAGGTTCTCCTTGACACCCGCAACCTGGACATCAGCCATCTCCCATCTAAACTTCGACCTCGCTTCTGCGGGCCTTTTCTCGTTGAAGCACAGGTCACTCCTGTTACCTTCCGCTTACGCCTGCCAGCTACCTGGAAGATTCATAACGCCTTCCATGTCCAACTTCTAAAGCCCTATCGAGATCCTAACACGATCTTCGTGGGACGCCAGCCGCCGCCGCCGCCGCCGTCCTCGTCCAGAACGAACCCGGGTACGAGGTCGAGTCCGTGCTCGCACACCGCCGTCGTCGGAATGGCACCGTGGAGCTTCTTATCCGTTGGAAGGGTTATGATCCTTCTGAGGACAGCTGGATACCTGAGTCCGACATGGGTAACGCCCGTCGTCCTCTGCATGACTACCTTGTCAAGCAGGGTGTTACTTCTACCACCCAGCTTTGAGGGGGGGAAGTGTGAGAGTACGACCCCGTTACACCACTTGGCCTTTTCTTATTTCCTTCCCTTTTCATTTCTCGTTTTACCGCATCTCATTTGGTTTCCTATTCTTCCTTTTCCATTTACCTTTGGTTTATCCTGCTATTATCATTATATCACCGACCAGGCTTGGGATGTATTGGTGTGCTCTATCTAGCGTAATCCTGCCGTAATCCCTTAAAGCCAATAGCCTCACGTGGCTATACGCAGGGTGATTCTATCTTCTAGAAGGGTCTATTCCCTTAGGATAAGATAAACCTGGTTACCTGATGTACTCTGGAAGTATAAAAGCGCCTTGTACTGATCGATAGTGCAACCTTTCCTCGACACATTCGATCCTGTGACACGTCTGTTCCGACCTCGTGCTTTGACGCTCTTGTCGCTGCTGTCGCTGACTTTGCCTCTACCCGCCGCCTTGACTACACCTCCGCTCTAGTCTCTGACCCTGCCTGTCCCCCGTCTGTCAGGGGTGCTCCTGCCCTTGGCAGTGACGTCCTGGAGGATCGCCAGTTCGAGCTTGCTTTCCTCTCCGAGGCTGCTCCCCATCTCTGTTCCATGCTGCTAGTCCCTGAAGGTGACCCAGACGCTTTCGACATCCCGACCCCTCGCACTTACGCTGAGGCGACTTCGGGACCCTGGGCCTCACAGTGGATAGCTGCCATGGAGCAGGAGATGGCATCTTGGAGCTCCACCGGCACCTTCGTCGACGCAGTTCCCCCACCTGGGGTGAACGTAGTCGATGGCCGCTGGCTCTTCAAGGTGAAGCGCCCTCCTGGAGAGCCGCCTGTGTTCAAGGCGCGCTGTGTGGCTAGAGGCTTCAGTCAGTGCGAGGGGGTGGACTTCTTCCAGACCTTCGCTCCGACCCCGAAGATGACTACTCTTCGGGTTCTGTTACACCTAGCTGCTCAGCGTGACTACGAGCTTCACTCCCTCGACTTCTCTACTGCCTTCCTTCAGGGCAGCCTACACGAGCAGGTCTACCTGCGGCGCCCTCAGGGCTTCACTGGCACCTTCCCTCCTGGGACCCAGTGGCTCCTGCGGCGCCCCGTCTACGGCCTGCGCCAAGCTCCCCGTGAGTGGCACGACACTCTCCGTGCTACGCTTGCTGACCTGCAGTTCTTTCCGTCTTCCGCAGACCCTTCACTCTTCGTTCGTGCTGGCCAGACTCCGTTCTACATCCTTGTTTACGTCGACGACCTGGTCTTTGCCACAGCTGACAGGGACGCACTGGCCTCCGTGAAGGCAGAGCTGCTGAAGAGACACACGTGCACTGACCTTGGAGAACTGCGCCGTTCCCTTGGCTTGCAGATCTCCAGGGACAGAGCTGCGCGCACCATCACCCTGACTCAGTCACACTTGGTGCGCCAGGTCCTTCAGAGGTTCAGCCTTCAGTTCTCCTCCGCACAGCCCACCCCTCTGCCTGTAGACCACAGACTCTCGGCTCCAGTGTCTGAGGAGTTGGTAGAGCCCAGCGGCCCCTACGCAGAGCTGGTGGGTTGCCTCATGTACCTGATGACTTGCACTCGCCCAGATCTCGCATACCCTCTCAGCATCCTGGCTCGCTTTGTGGCCACAGGCAGGCACCGACCGCAGCACTGGTCTGCCGTTAAGAGGGTTCTGCGTTATCTTGCTAGTACATCAGGCATGGGGTTAGTGCTAGGAGGACGCAGGCCAGTGGTCCTTACTGGACACACAGACGCTTCGTGGGCAGACGACGCTGAGACACTCAGGTCTACCCAGGGCTACTGCTTCAGCCTTGGCTCAGGTGCCGTCTCGTGGAGAGCTACCCGCACCTCGTCTGTTGCGCAGTCCAGCTGTGAGGCTGAGATCTACGCTGGTGCCATGGCGGCACAGGAGCTCCGCTGGCTGACCTTCTTGCTCACCGACTTAGGTGAGCGGCCTAGCTCTGCCCCGGTCCTGTTCGCTGACAACAGGGCCATGATCCTCCTGTGTCAGGAGCCTCGACTCGAGGGCAGAGCAAAGCACATTCAGCTGCGGTACTTCCTCCTGCGTGAGCTACAGCAGCGACGCGAGGCTCGCGTAGTACACTTGGCCTCAGGTGCCAACACGGCTGATATCTTTACGAAGGCGCTTGCGCCTAAAGATCATCAGCGGCACTGTGTACAGCTTGGTCTAGTTCCTGTAGCCTCTCACTTGCTAGGCCCTTGACTTTGTACTGTCCTTTATACGTATACTCAGACTGGACTTGTGTCCCCTCTCAGTGGCTGGACTAGTAGTGCCGCCCTGTTCTTGTTCTTGCCTTGTTTGTACTCCTTCTGACTGGTCTCTCAGACCCTTGTCTCAGAGGTTGGACTAGTAGTGCCGCCCTGAGCTGTTTGTTTAGGGCATTCCCCTATGCAGTCTAGGGGGTGTGTCAAACATGTGTATTTGTCATGTTTGTATAGACTGTATAGGGTCGCCTCTTTGAGAGTACAACACTTAGGTATATCTGTGTGTACTCTCACCCTATCTACTCTTCACTTCTCAAATTTTGATAGCAGCTTTCCCAACCAAGCCTCTCTAACTCAAACTCGTTACCCCCAACCAAGACTCTCTGAACCAAACTCATTTCCCCCAACCAAGCCTCTCTGAACAAAACTCATTTCCCCCAACCGAGCCCCTTTCAGCCAAAATCGTTCCCCCAATGAAGCCTCTCACAGCCAAACTCGTTCCCCCAACCAAGCCTCTCTCAGCCAAGCTCATTTCCCCAAAGAGGTTTGGTTGGGGAAAACGTGCTTTCCTGGACCACGCCTCTGTGCTTCATATAAGTGGGGCATTTGTAACTGTGAGCTGAGGGTATTTTTTGTAGTAGGCAATAAATTGGTGAAGTGGCGGTTGCACTTGTAGTCAATCGTTTGGGGTTTTAATTATTATTATTATTAGCACATAATAACATCTGAACACTTGTAGATGAAATTGGTGAAAGGGAAAGTGAACGGGACCTTGAAACCCTGCACATGCCGGGAAACCGCCGAAACTGCCTTGCAAAAACAGTCAACATTTTTTGGGTTACCCAGCTTGGACGAGTTGGTTGCGCGACAAACTCGGATTCTGCAGGGGGCCCTTCAGGGACATCGAGAGGCCTGATCCACACTAACTGCGGTTCTCTTTTGGCATCCCTTTTGGCATCCCTTCTGGCATCAGTAAGCACACGCCGTCAGCATTACGTCATGAAGTACACGCCGCTCTCAGTTCTCAAGTCGCTCGCCCTCTTCGTCGCGGCGGGCCTCCTCGAGATCGGCGGCGGCTGGTTCGTGTGGCAGTGGCGGATCAACGGCTGGCATTGGGCGTGGTGCCTCCTCGGTGCCGCGATCCTTTTCGGCTACGGACTCGTCGCCACGTTCCAGGATGCTTCCTTCGCGCGCACGTACGCAGCGTACGGCGGGATCTTCATCCTGCTCGCGCTGCTGTGGGGCTGGGCCGTCGATCGGACGGCTCCCGATGTGTGGGACCTAGTGGGCGCGGCGGTGGCGGTGGGCGGGGCGTGCATTATCATGTTCGTTCCTCGGCCTGCTGATGGCGCATAGGAACTCTAGGCGCCATTAAAGCCCAAGTGGATGGGAGGGGGCTGGGTTGGGCGGGGCGTGCATCACCATGGTCTTCCCTCGGCCTGCCGATGGCGCATAGGAGCTCTCTCGGGAGGGGAGGGGAGGAGGGGCGTTACCATGGTCGTCCCTCGGCACGCTGAACCTGCATGGGAACCTCGGAAGCCAAGGCGCGGGTGACGGGGTTCGTGACGATGTGGCTGGTGTTCGTTTCTCAGGGATGGTGCTGATTAGGGCAGGCCTAGCGAAGAGCTCGTTATCGTGTTCGTTCCCTGGGCTGGCGAATCAGACAAGTGACTGCAGATGAGGCGCGGGGCTTTGAGTTCCGCTTGCGCAAGGAAGGGAAGGGGCTTCTCCTGGGCTCAGAGAGTGGGTGGTAATGTCAACGGAACCGAGTGGCGCAGCGCAGGACATGGCGCCGAGTGGCCGTTAAGGGTTTAGGCTGGTTGTGTGCATAGAGTGTTAGACTGGAGAGCCGGTGCACTTACGTCGATTTAGGGCGTCGCAGAGCAGAGTGGCTGGCTGCTGATAGATAATGCACGACTCACTCACGACTCACGGCCATCACCGCCCCTTCTGCCGAGGGTTTAGGTTTCGCAGCGACGGAGCGACGAAGCGATTCCCAGGGCTGAGGATGACGCAGAAGTGACCTTTGAGGCGGCTCCAAACTCATTGCGTGGGCGCCGGTGTCCTCTGGTGGACTTGGAGTGGAGAAGGGCAAGGAATGGCGGTTAGGGCAATGCAAATCCATGGAGACAGCAATGCGCATGAGGAGAGAGTTGAGGAGTGCAGATCGGTGGGGCATGGAGAGAAAGCAGTGTGGCGCACACGAAGCATGCCGATTTGAAAGGCGCATTGGCGGGACTGGCTGGCAGCGGGATGATTCGCTGCAACTTGCGCACTCCAGTGACGGGCAGCTCGTCATTGCGGTGCCAATGGCGTGCCAACGGTGAGTCAGCGTGGGGTTAGCATGCTGATGTGCCATAATTCAGCTGGGAAAGTGCTGGCAGGATGCAGTCTGGCTCCTGTTAGTCCAGATCCTGTTAGTCCAGATCCTGTTAGTCCAGATCCTGTTAGTCCAGGTCCTGTCAGTCCAGGTCCTGTTAGTCCAGCTCCTGCTTGTTGCATCGAGAGCAGTGGGGCTTGGACGTGCACAGCAAAGGGTTAATAGGAGGGAGAGGAAGTTGATGGATGAGGGCTTTCTGGTGAAGAGGGCTTCCTGGCGAGGAGTGCCTCTGGCGAGGAGTACCTCTGGCGAGGGCAGTTTGTTGAACCTGGGACCTATCATTGACAGCACACGATTGTACTGCTCCCTTGTTGCGTCTCCCTGCCACGACCTCACCTGCGCCCTGTCTCGCCCCATCTCTCTTCCCTCTCCTCCATGCCTCATGCATTCGTTTCCCCTAATCACCCGTGACCCATTTCGCCCCTGCTTTCACTAATACACGGGCCCCATGTTTCATTCCTCCAGCATCTATGGCTGCCTGTTCTCCCAAAACCACCCACCCCATGCCATTCTCTCTCATATGACCACTTCGGTTCCACAGCGAGGCACCTCCGATTTGTCGCTCGTTTGACACCAACGGGGATGGCTGCCCCTCACCCTCTGAGACCTCGTCACCACGGCAGCCTTCCACGCTTGTGGCAACGGTACCCGCATGCTGGTGCTGTGCTCAAGCCAAGAGACCGGATGCAGCAGCTCATTCTGGTGAGTGACCCTCCTTGCTGCCCTACACCCTTTCAGACCAAGGCAGCCTGCCGAGCTCTGCAGCGCTTCCCAGGCGCTGGTGCTGTGCTGTGGTCGAGAGATTGGATGAGCAAGATCATTCAGATGTGCAGGGATGGGGGGGGTTGTGGGGGGTACAGGTGTGATGGAGGCGCGTTCAGGGCGCGCCACGCACCGTCATTAGGTGCACAGCCGAGGAGGGGATGGCGGTGGGCGCTGTATTGGCCTCGCGTTGATTGGCCGACTACGGCTCTTCTCAGGGTTGCTCTCATTTCCCACCGGAATCTGGATCCTCTTCCTTCGCCCGGCGAAGAACCTCTGTTGTTACGGCTCCTAGGCGATTGTTGCCGGATGCACCGACGGTGTCGGTAAGGGTTTCGCGAGGGAGCTCGCGAAACGGAAGATCAACGCAATTCTCGTCTCGTCAGCAGGACCGCTCTGCTCCGTCTGTGCTGGAACCAAGGCGTAAGTGTCACTGTCATGAAACATAGGTACTTATCGGCTCATCACCGTCATTACGTAGGATCCGCTCCACTCGGCCTACGACGGCACCAAGGCGTGAGTGTCACCACGATTAGTCGTTTCTTTGCCAAACAAAAGAAACACAAAAAAAAAAAAAAAAAAAACAGAGAAAAACACAAAAAGAACCACTGATAAAGCCCTCGTTGCGTCTCATCTCACCTCCTCTCGTATGTTCCCCCCTTTTCGCTTTGCGTGCATCATGTTTGTCGACCAGTTCTCTCGCAGCATCAACATGGAGGATGCATCCAAGCCAAGGGGATGGATGTGCAGGTTCAGGTGAGCCATGCCAGATGCAGCAAATGACAGCATATTGCTTTTAAAGTACGGGTCAAACGTTGTCTGAAAGTCTAGTTGCTCCACGGGATCGACATCCAGGTCAGGTGAGCTGTGTTAAGTGCAGCAATTGAAAGGATAACTAACCCGAGTCTGGTGGGAGCCCTGCCTGGAATGGAATATGCGTCCGGGCTCCCGGTTCCAGTCAAATGCGCGTTCCATTATTGCGAATCACTCTGCGAATAGTCTAGTAGTATCTTTCTCTTTTCTGTACTATTCCTGAGGCTTTTGAATTACACCAAGACAGTCGCTATTTGGTGATTGAAGGAGGGACATGATGAGGACACTATTTTAAATCTGAAGCACGCCACTGGCCTTGCCTGCTGTAGTCTGTTCAATCAGGCTGCTAGCAGCAGGGAAAGCTGGTCTGCTGTGATCGCACACACCGGCGGTTTTCTGATCCCTCTTGTCACATCAGCTGTATCACCTAGAGTGAATTGTCTCCGACCCAAGCAGTCAGACTGGGGTGCGCAGTGCTTCATGCGGCAGCTCAATTCGGTGGTCTGCGTCATCCTGCACAGCTCATCATCTTGTGAACCATCTGTACTGCATATTCTGTCCCTCTGTCCCTCTGTCCCTCTGTCCCTCTGTCCCTCTGTCCCTCTGTCCCTTATTTTTTATTCCCCTCATCTGTGCCTCCTTCAACCCCTCGTGCGCTGACTAGTTCTGCTCTTTCACCACAGCCTCCCCTTGTTCCATGCACATTTCCCTCCTTATTTGGCCATCTCATCTCAAATGTCCATGATTCCATGTCTGCGGGCTCGTCTCTTTTTGACTTTTGAGTCGACTCACAAGTCAATTTGGCCATCTCATCTCCAATGCCCATGATTCCATGTCCGCGGGCTCGTCTCATTTTGACTTTTGAGTCGATTCAGAAGTCAATTTGGCCATCTCATCTCCAATGTCCATGATTCCATGTCCGCGGGCTCGTCTCTTTTTTGCCACCCCGATTCGGCCTCCAATTTGCCATGCTCACTGGTCAATTTCCCTGTCCTTTATTTCTCACGTGCAGGCCCCTCTCTTCGTCGCAACCTAATGCCATAGATCCGTCACATCTCCCACACCTGCCCCTTGTCTGAAATGTGTAAGGCAGGCATGGGGCCAACTGGATGGGTGCCAACTGGGTGTGGCAGGGGGTGCGGTGCACGCCGTACTGGGTGCACGGGGTCATGTGGGGCATCATCTACCGCTTCATTGCTTAGCGTCATGTGGGGAATCATCTACCGCTTCCCAGAAAACCTTTTCAACACCATTCGGTTGGGCCAGAATGTGGACATTCGCACGAGCGCCCTGGCCGAAATTGTCCGCCAACAGAAGCAGCAGTAGGATGGAGCTGTTGGTGTTTATGTCACATGCCTTGTTGACATAGATAAGGGTATGCCCTGAATGGAAACATTATGTTCTGAGGGTTTTAGCAAGCAGATTTACTTTTATGACCAAGCAATGGAGGAAGCAGAGCAGCCGCATTACTCAGCTCTGCATTTTATTGTTGTACTTCCTATCAGAATGAGAGAAGTAATGAATTAGAGTGAGAGTACAGATGGATATACCTAAGTATTGTACCCTCTAAGAGGTGACCCTATACAGTCTATGCAAACATAACAGATGCACATGTTTGACACACCCCCTAGACTGCATAGGGGAATGACCTGAACAAGCAGCTCAGGGCGGCACTACTAGTCCAACCTCTCAGACAAGGGTCTAAAAGACCAGTCATAAGGAGTTGAGACAAGGCAAGAACAAGAACAGGGCGGCACTACTAGTCCAACCACTGGGAGTGGACACAAGTCCAGTCTGAGTATAAATATAAAGGACAGTACAAAGTCAAGGCCCTAGCAAGTGAGAGGCTACAGGAACTAGACCAAGCTGTACGCAGTGCCGCTGATGATCTTTCGGCGCAAGCGCCTTCGTAAAGATATCAGCTGTGTTGGCACCTGAGGCCAAGTGTACTACGCGAGCCTCGCGTCGCTGCTGTAGCTCGCGCAGGAGGAAGTATCGCAGCTGAATATGCTTCGCTCTGCCCTCGAGTCGAGGCTCCTGACACAGGAGGATCATGGCCCTGTTGTCAGCGAACAGGACCGGGGCAGAGCTAGGCCGCTCACCTAAGTCAGTGAGCAAGAAGGTCAGCCAGCGGAGCTCCTGTGCCGCCATGGCACCAGCGTAGATCTCAGCCTCACAGCTGGACTGGGCAACAGACGAGGAGCGGGTAGCCCTCCACGAGACGGCACCTGAGCCAAGGCTGAAGCAGTAGCCCTGGGTAGACCTGAGTGTCTCGGCGTCATCTGCCCACAAAGCGTCTGTGTGTCCAGTCAGGACCACTGGCTTGCGTCCTCCTAGCACTAACCCCATGCCCAATGTACTAGCAAGATAACGCAAAACCCTCTTAGCGGCAGACCAGTGCTGCGGTCGGTGTCTGCCTGTGGCCACAAAGCGAGCCACAATGCTGAGAGGGTATGCGAGATATGGGCGAGTGCAAGTCATCAGGTACATGAGGCAACCCACCAGCTCTGCGTAGGGGCCGCTGGGCTCTACCAACTCCTCAGACACTGGAGCCGAGAGTCTGTGGTCTACAGGCAGAGGGGTGGGCTGTGCAGAGGAGAACTGAAGGCTGAACCTCTGAAGGACCTGGCGCACCAAGTGTGACTGAGTCAGGGTGATGGTGCGCGCTGCTCTGTCTTTGGAGATCTGCAAGCCAAGGTAACGGCGCAGTTCTCCAAGGTCAGTGCACGTGTGTCTCTTCAGCAGCTCTGCCTTTACGGAGGCTAGTGCATCCCTGTCTGTTGTGGCAAAGACCAGGTCGTCGACGTAAACAAGGATGTAGAACAGAGTCTGGCCAGCACGAACAAAGAGTGAGGGGTCTGCGGAAGACGGAAAGAACTGCAGGTCAGCAAGCGTAGCACGGAGAGTGTCGTGCCACTCACGGGGAGCCTGGCGCAGGCCGTAGACGGGGCGCCGCAGGAGCCACTGGGTCCCAGGAGGGAAGGTGCCAGTAAAGCCCTGAGGGCGACGCAAGTAGACCTGCTCGTGTAGGCTGCCCTGAAGGAAGGCAGTGGAAAAGTCGAGGGAGTGAAGCTCGTAGTCACGCTGAGCAGCTAGGTGTAACAGAACCCGAAGAGTAGTCATCTTCGGGGTCGGAGCGAAGGTCTGGAAGAAGTCCAACCCCTCGCACTGACTGAAGCCTCTAGCCACACAGCGCGCCTTGAACACAGACGGCTCTCCAGGAGGGCGCTTCACCTTGAAGAGCCAGCGGCCATCGACTACGTTCACCCCATGCGGGGGAACTGTGTCGACGAAGGTGCCGGTGGATCTCCAAGATGCCATCTCCTGCTCCATGGCAGCTATCCACTGAGAGGCCCAATGTCCCGAGGTCGCCTCAGCGTAAGTGCGAGGGGTCGGGATGTCGAAAGCGTCTGGGTCACCCTCAGGGACTAGCAGCATGCAACAGAGATGGGGAGCAGCCTCGGACAGGAAAGCAAGCTCAAACTGGCGGTCCTCCAGGACGTCAATGCCAAGGGCAGGAGCACCCCCGACAGACGGAGGACAGGCAGGGTCAGAGACCAGAGCGGTGGCATAGTCAAGGCGGCGGGTAGAGGCGAAGTCAGCGACCGCAGCAACAAGAGCGTCAAGGCACGAGACCGGAACAGACGGGTCGGTAACGAGAGAGGCAAGGACCCGAGGAACAAGAGGACGAGCGGCACGAACGTAGTCAGACAGCGGGGGGGTGCAACAACAAGGGAGGACGGAGGAGGTGACGGGAGAAGAGGAGGACGAGACGCGTGGGAACGAAGCAACATAGGGTGGGAGCGCAAGACAGGCGAGGCAGGACGAGCACGGGAGGGACGGTGAGACCAGACGTGCGACGGAGGAGTCGGGTCAGGAGACAGGGGAGGGGACACAGGAGGGGAACGAGGAGGAAGACGGGCTCGGGACGAGTCCGGCGGAGGGAACATAGGGCCGTAGACGGGAAGAGGAGGAGACGGGCAGAGAGGAACAGCCGCAGGGTCAGGGGACGGAAGGCCAAGCAGGCGAAGGGCTGACACCGGCGAGGACTGCTGCTGTGGCGGCACAACGGCGACACCGGGACTGCAAGCGGCTTCTCGGCTACCACCGGCACACTCCACACCAGTACCCCCAGAGGATCCACCCCCGGGGCTACCGGGACTAGCACCCCCAGAGTCAACGAACGGGTGCTGCGACGGCGGCGGCGGCGGCAGCGACAACGACGGCTGCAGCGCCGGCGAAGGCGGTGGAGGAGGGGACTAGGGAGGGGACGCCGGGGGAGGGGCGGCCAGCAAGGACTGCGCAGCAGGGCCACCAGAGTCAGAAGACTCCTCAACCGGGTCCACCGACGGAAGGGGGGTGACGTGGGACAGACCAGAGGGGGCAGGACGAGGAGGAGGAGGGGGGGGGGCAGGGACTACCGGGGAAGGAGTGACCAGGAACAGGGAGGGGGTAACCGGGGGACCGCGGTAGGGGAAGCTACGGTAGTAGGAGACGGATTCGTCAAAGGTGACGTCGCGAGAGTGAAAGAAGCGGTGAGACGGCGGGTGGTAAAAGTGCCAGTCGGACGCGTCAAGGGGAAAACCGAAAAAGACGCAGGGGAGGGTGCGGGCAGTGAGCTTGTCCATGCTGGAGGCACGGACGTGAGCAAGGCAGCCCCAGACGTGGAACGCAGACGCGTCACCCGGAGACCCAGTCCAAAGACGAGTCGGCGAAACCTGCGGCTGCTGAGGGTGCGGCCACAAGTTAAGCTGGTGAGAAGCGTAGCGCACAGCGAACGGCCACAGAAAATGGGGTGCACCGGCATGGATCATGGAGGTGCGAGCCACCTCCATGACCAAACCCATGCGTCGCTCAGCGACCCCATTCTGCTGTGGGGAGTCCGGTAGGGTGAACGTCTGGGTGATGCCCTCCGCACAACAAAAGCGACCAAGGACACCTAAGGCAAACTCGCCACCACGGTCGGAGTGAAGACGCAAGACAGGGAGACCGCGGTTGACACGCGCAGAGACAAGCCAGGGGATGAGAGCGCCAGGCACGTCGGCCTTGCGCTCCAGAGGAAAGACTGTGGTGTAACAAGTAAATTCGTCGACAAGCACAAGGAAGTAGCGCTCGCGACGCGGCCCAGGGACTGGGGCGGGGCCCCAGACGTCCAGGTGCAGGGTCTGCAGCGGCGCGGCGGTAGGGGGAAACGAGGAGGAGTGAGGGGCACGGCGAAGCCGACCCTCGACACAAGGCGTGGAAGGTGGGGCTGGGGAGGAGGGAAACGCGGGGAGAGAACCTTGGAGACCAAGGACAAGACCGTGCTGGGACATGTGACGCAGACGCGGGAGCGCAGGGTGAACGAGGCGGTGGTGCCAAAGGAGAGTCGGGTGAGTGAGGGACCGACAGGAGCAGGCGGCAGCAACCTGGGTAGACGCAGCCACCTGAGGGAGCGCTCCAGCCGGGGGGGTCACGATGTCCAGAGTGAACAGGCCGGACACCGGGTCCCGGGGGAACGTGGACAGGGGGGCACCAGTGGCGGCCTCGGTACAGACAACATACCGCTCGTGACCAGGGAACGCAGTGGTGACGCCAAGGTCCTGGAGGCAGCCGACACCAACTAGGTTCCTTGAGAACGAGGGGATATGCAGTCCTGTGAGAGTGCCTGAAGGAACCGCCGGACAGGGAAGGGTGGTGGAACTACGGGCGACTACCGGACCGCCGGAGGGGTCAGCAAGAGAAACGGCAGCAGGAACAGGAAGCGGCGTCAGTGTGGTGAAGTCGCGGAAGAAACACCGGGAAGCGCCAGAGTCCAGGGTGTAGGAAAGCGAAGCAGTGGTGTCCGGCGACGGGGCGACGGCGGAAGCACCAAGGCTAAACAAAGCAGGGGCTCCTACGCCTGACGCAGCAGGGGAGGCTAAGCTAGGCACACCTACACTAGACGACAATGAGTAATAAGCGGGAAGCACACTAGAGTCATCAGCATACATCACATGCAGAGCAGAAATAATGGCATCCATGTCCATGTCAATAATTTGGATCTGACGACTAAGCAAACTGTGCAAGTCCGGGAGGTCTGGCGACGGGCCGAAGCGCTGACGAAACATGTCGTCCAGGCGACGAAAACAGCGGGGAGTGGAGTGACCGATCTTACCGCAAACGAAGCCGCGGCGAGGACCGGTCTGGATCTGGTACTGACAACGCACGCCTCCAGAACCACCACTCGGCACACCACCACGCGCCCGACCACCGCCAGCGCCGGGCCACCCGGGCGGGAGGACACTCGTCTGCCGCGTCTGCGGCGGCTGCTGCAAAGGCTGCGGCTGCTAAGACTGCTGCGGCTGCTGAGGCTGCTGCTGCTGCTGCGACTGCAGGGGCGGCAGCTCAGCTGGACTGGGCAGGGTCCCCTCGTCCGCTCCAGCACCAGACGACCCGAATCCACCACCACCCCCTCCCGCACCCCCGCCTCCTCCGCCGCGCCCAACCTTGGGGCGGCGGCCCTTCCCCGAACGAAACTGCGCTGCAGCAGCAGTCTCAGCCACAGCAGCAGAGCCGTCGGAGAAGGTACACTGAGCGGGGGCACAACCCTGAAAGATAGGGACCGGCACGGTACCGCTCGCCTGGGCGATGGAGCGGTGGCGGGTCTCAATCACAGTCAGGGTGTCTACAAAGTCAGTGAGGGTGAGGTCCGCGGGGTGAATTCTAAGGAAGCGGTCGCGGGCGACAGCAAGGCGGTCAGGGAGGCGGGTGGCAAGCAGGTAAAGGGTAGAGGTAATGGGCGGCTGGTGGGCTCTAAGCTGTGCGTCAGTGCAGGTAGCGCGCCAGGTCTCATCTATCGAGCGCAGGTGGGCAGCGAGGTCAGAGACAGTGGGGAAAGACGCAAGGTCAGGAAAGAGCATCGGGAGGATCAAGCGACCCACCAAGGCGGCTGGAGGGGTGGAATAGCACTTGATGACAGCATCTAAGTAAGCCTGGGCAGTAGTGAGGGACCTAAAGCGGGGGCGCTCGGACGGGGGAAGGGCATTGCTAATGGCAAGCTGAGCGACAGCATCTCGAGAAAGCCAGACAGAGCGCGCACGGGCAGTGGCAGCAGTAGACTCGCGCTCAGTGGGTGCGGAGTTAGCGGGCAGAACAGCAGGGGGGTCTGGGCAAGGGAGCGTACCGTCAAGGTGTGCGGAAAGCGGTTCACCATCTTGCCGCTGGCCAGTGAGTTGGCGCCGGAGGTCGGCAAGCCACGCCTCGAACTCCAGAGGCTGGTCTTCAGCGTCGAAGCGAAGCTCTGCCGCCATCAGGTGCAGTGCAGGACTGTACAGTGCGGTGCAGTGTGGTGCAGTGCAGAGCAGGGCAGTGCAGTGCGGTGCCGGGCGGTGCAAGGCAAGGCAGTGCGATGCAGGGCAGTGCAGTGCAGTGCAGGGCGGTGCAGGGCGGTGCAGGGCAGTGAAGTGCGGTGCAGGGCGGTGCAGTGCGGTGCAGGGCGGTGCAGGGTGGTTCAGTGCGATGCAGTGCAGTGCAGTGCGGTGAGGGGCGGTGCAGGGAGGGGGGGAACCGTACCAGTGAGGATGCAAGGGCTGGGGCAGGGCGCAACAGGGCCCGGAGAGCGCGACTTGGCCGAGCGGGCGCGACGGGGCCGGGAAGGGCGCAACGGGCCGGGCGAGTGCGACAGGGCCGGGCGGGTGCGACGGGCCGGGCGGGTGCGACGGGGCCGGGCGGGCGCAACGGGGCCGGGCCGGGCGCAAAGGGGCCGGGCGGGTGCGACGGGGCCGGGCGGGTGCGACGGGGCCGGGCGGGTGCGACGGGGCCGGCCGGGCGCGACGAGGCCGGGCAGGGCGCAACGGGGCCGAGCAGGTGCGACGGGGCCGGGCGGGTGCGACGGGGCCGGGCGGGTGCGACGGGGCCGGGCGGGCGCGACGGGGCCTGCAGGCGAGACAGGGCCCAGGAGGGGCGCTACGGGGCCCAGGAGGGGCGCTACAGGGCGAGGGGCGTAGCGAGGCCCGGGAGGGTCGCGACGGGGCTAGGGGGTTGCGACGCGGCCCAGGAGGGGCGCGGCAGGGCTAAGGGCACGACGGGGCCCAGGGGGGTCGCGACGGGGCTAGGGGTGTCGCGACGGGGCCCAGGGGGTTGCGATGGGGCTAGGGGGTCGCGACGGGGCCCAGGAGGGGCGCGGCAGGGCTAGGGGCACGACGGGGCCTAGGGGGGTCGCGACGGAGCTAGGGGGTCGCGACGGGGCTAGGGGGTCGCGACAGGGCCCAGGAGGGGCGCGGCAGGGCTAGGGGCACGTCGGGGCCCAGGGGGGGGTCGCGACGGGGCTAGGCGAGGGGGCACGACGGGGCCCAGGGGGGAGGCGCGGCGGGGCCTAGCTAGGTGACAAGCGGAAGCGGTAGGTGGGGGATCCTAACCTACGCGTGATACCATATCAGAATGAGAGAAGTAATGAATTAGAATGAGAGTACAGATGGATATACCTAAGTATTGTACCCTCTAAGAGGTGACCCGATACAGTCTATGCAAACATAACAGATACACATGTTTGACACTTCCGTCCACTTTGATGGTTTGGGCATTGTGTATTGAACTTAGGAGAAAAGGCCACACTTGCTGCACCATGCTTGAGCGATTTCTGATATTTCCATCAATTATTGCTCAGTGGGATGTCGCGCACTCATCAGCAGCCAAAATAGAGCACTCACTGGCACAAGGTCCAAGCATGGTGTTTGTAGCATGTGATGGTTGGAATTTGCAAATGTCTGAAATTGTTGAATTGGATTCATCAATTGGGTGAGTACTAATAGCGATGAGAGTGACAGCACGGGGTGAGCATCAAGGCGGTGGGATGGGACGGGTTGCTGACATGGCGAAGCGATGCGACGGGACAGAGTGAAGGGGTGCTGTAGCAAAGGAAGAGTAGCGAAAGGAGCAAGCGAAGGATGATGGTGTTGGTCCAAGCTCTTGGGAGCATAGCGAAGGATTCGTATTGAAGTGGAAAGATGGTTAGGGCTGCAGGAAGGAAGAATTATGACAGTTGAGGGGAGATACGGTAGTTGGTTTGGAGGAGAGGTGGATCAACATTTTTATGGCAAAGATACGCCCTCCACCAAATGAAACCACACCGTATCACAGCCGTGCCTACTCTAGTCCTTCCAATGGTCGACCGTGACTGCATCTAGCTTAGATCCTGAGGGTAACGTACCGCGCCCTTAGGGATTTTAGGAGAGAGGATTGCGCTTGTGCATGAGCCGTTTGTGGACGGGTGGGCCGGGGGTGGTGGGGGGGAGGAGGGGGGGGAAGAGGGGGGTGGGGAGGGGAGAAAGGAAGAGGGGAGGGGAGGTGAGGGGGCAACGGGGAGCAGTCCCAGTCGGTGGTGGGGACCACTGACGGCATAGACGAGCTCATACAGCAGCATCAGATCCATGCGACTTCGGTCACTAGATGATGCTCTTAAAGCCTTTAACAAGGTATCCGACATCGTACTGCGTCCCTCTAGAACGATCACTTTCCCTGAGAGAGGTTATTTGATCCACATGGTAATCACCTTGCAAGGTAATTCATATGCCTTTCACTCCCTACTGAATTCTACGTCGTCCGTCAGACCCCCTTGATCTTCGCCCAGCTAATGGTATTTCGCCTGCGATAAAATTTCCACCAGCCCGTCACGGCTTTGTTAGGATTAAGGACAGAGTCTAGGTGAACTTAGGAGCTAGAATTACTCAAAATATAAATCCGAAATTCTGGACAGAAAAGTCGTCTTCACAAGAAACGACGTCGACAAAACACTAGCCGTTGGAATGTCGCGAAACTTGGATATGTTGTAGCTCTTGATCTCAGCTACCGTTCCCAATTTGAATCACGTTGATTGATGAAGTATTCGCGACGCTATGGCTTTCGACGCACTAGGGGGTAAGCTGTAGGAGGAGAACTTAACTCAATCTCAAGAGTTCAATCAAAGTTCAAGAATCTCACAAGGAATTAGAAGGAGCAAGAGAAAGGTTGGGATAGAAGAGAGGGATGAGAGGGAAGGTCCCAAGAGAGTCCCCAACCAAGGAAACCCCATAAGCACAAAGATTCCCTCCCTATAGGAACCCCAACTTTGACATTTGTCCCTTCCCAACCAATCCATCCAAGTTGGCCACCCTTGCCAACCTAGCTTGGTTGTTCCCAACCAATTTGCAGCTGTTACAGTAGAGTGACGAATTTCCCCAACCCCAAAGGTCCCAACTCCATATAAAGTCACCCCACAACTTCACTTAGTAACCGCCGCAATTGTAACGCAAGCTCATGAACTTTGAATCTTCATAGCTTTCGCGTTCTTGCTCCGATTGAAGCGATTCTTGTTGCGTCGGAAAGATCTTCTCAAGATCTATTATCACAAATACCTGCTCAGACAGAATAACACAAAACACATTCCCAAACTCCAGAACACACCACACAAATTCTTTCACACACAGTCAAACCATACGTGCGAATTGAAACAAGGGATGGGAGGCAGACAGAATGTGATAACATATGATGACATCACACAACAATCTCCCCCTCTGGCTGCCAACCATCATCGACCATACCACATCTCAAGCATGCATACTCAATGCACACTCATCCCAGCAAGCTTCATGCCCTTCCAATGATCCGCCTCCGCCAGACGCTTAGTGAAAATATCTGCTGCCTGCTGATGGGTCTTCACTATCTCCAGCCGCACCTCCTTATCAAGGAGTCTCCTCACCCAGTGCCACTTAGGCCTTATGTGTTTTGTCAGCCCATGCAGACAAGCATTCTTGGCGAGCTTCACAGCAGACTCATTGTCACAGAACACAACTGTCGGCTCCTCCTGACCAACTCCCAACTCCTCCAACAAACGCCTTAGCCACACTACTTCCTTGGCCCCATGGTGTAAGGCCATGTACTCAGTCTCACATGAGGACAATCCCACCTCATTCTGCTTCTTGCTGCGCCAGCTCACAGCACCACCTCCTAGCAAGCACACATAACCCCCAATGCTGGTGCCATCCGCTTTCACTGAGTTGAAGCTAGCGTCAGTATAGCAACTCAAGAGCATCTCTCCACTCTTCACATCTGCAGCACCTCTCTGCAACCGCTGCCTCACTCCACTGTACTCCAATCCCACTGATGCCGTAGCACTCACATAGCGGACCAACCTCTTGGCCGCTTCCAGCTGCTCATGACTAGGGCGTGAGACCACACTAGCCAACCGTGATGTAGAAAATGCAATGTCAGGCCGTGTATGATTTGCAGCATAATTCAGCGACCCAACCATCGAATGAAACAGCTTCCTGTCACTCTCACCCACTACCTCCTCATCAGCACATGGCTCCACAGTAAACCCTGAAGGTAGTGGTGTTGCTGGCTTTCCCCCATCTTGCAGCCCATACTTCTCAGCCAGCCCCTCACAGTACTTCCTCTGGTGCAACCTCAGCACACCCTTTTCCACATCTCTCTCCACGTGCATCCCCAAGTAGTACTTCACCTCACCCATCTTGGAGCACTTGAACTGCATCTCCAGCATCTGCTCTGCGCTGTCCAGCAAAGCAGTGGATGCAGAAAAGAGAAGGATATCATCCACATACACCAAGAGCATGAGGATTTCATCCTTCTCCTGCAGCAGGAACAGGCTGGGGTCACACTCACTCTTCTTGAAACCCCCAGCCAACAGCGCCTCCTCCAACTTGTGATACCATGCACGAGGCGCCTGCTTAAGGCCATAGATGGCCTTCTTCAGCCTGCAGACCCTGCCGCTCCCGTCATCCAGCCCCTCTGGCTGCTTCATGTACACCTCCTCCATAATGATCCCATTCAGAAAAGCAGTCACAATGTCCATCTGCCGTATCTTCCATCCCAGGAGTGCAGCTATCGCCAACAGCACCCTCAGTGTTGTTCCTTTCCCCACAGGAGCAAACACCTCATCATAGTCCTTCCCCTTTGTCTGCTGAAACCCCCGTGCCACAAGCCTAGACTTGTAGCGGGTCAGCTCCCCTTCAGGTCCATACTTGTGCCTGTAGATCATCTTGGAAGTGATTGCCTTCTTTCCAGGAGGCAAGTCACACAGGTCCCATGTCTCGTTCTCAATTAGGGACCCGAACTCCTCATCCTCACTCGCCTTCCACTTCTCCCCATTTGGTCCATTCAAGGCCTCTTCTCGAGTCTTGGGCTCAGGGATTGGTGCCCAGTAGCAGTGAGCGATCTCATCTTCCTCAATCTGCTCAACCACACTCCCAGCCTGCACCACATTTGGCTTGCCTCTTCCCCCATAGGTCAGCCTCACAGGAGGGCGCACATCCCTCCTAGGTCGCTCAGGCGGGTGTGGAACTCGAGGTGGAGACTCATGTTGCTGTTGCTGCTCCACTTCAGCTGCTCCCCCTTCTTCAGTCACCCCAGATATCTCCTCCTCAGACACTGCAACCTCCACCTGCCTTGAAGGCTGCTGCAACTCATCTGCCTCCACAATGAGTGGTGTAGATGGAAGCTTCTGTTGCTGCTGCTTCCATTCCTTATAGTACAGGGACTCAAGAAACTTCACATCCCTTGACACTGTCAGCTTCTGGATGGTCAAGTCCCATAGAAGCCATCCCTTGTGATCCTTTGCAATCCCCAAGTGCACACCCCATCTTCCAGAAGCCTCCAACTTCCCTCTTTTCTCCTTAGGCACATGAAACACTACCATGCACCCAAATGCCCTCAGCATATTCACAGCTGGAGCACTCCCATACCACTTGGTATATGGGATCCACTCCTTATCCCCAACTGTAGCCAGCACTCTATTCTTCACAAGGGCGACCTGCCTCAGTGCAGACACCCAAAACGGATCAGGTAGCCCTGCACGCCCAAGGAGAGTGCGTGCCCCCTCCTGCAGGGTCCTGTTGAACCTCTCAGCCACGCCATTCTGCTGCGGGTTGTAGGGCACTGTCAGTTGATGCTGGATCCCCTTCCTCTTCAACTCCCCCTCAAAATCAGCTCCAATGAACTCCCCACCATTGTCACTACGGATCACCTTCACCTTGTGTCCGCATTCCCTCTGAGCTCTCGGCATCCACTCTTTAAGGACAGCCGCTGCCACCTCCCCCTTGCTCTTCAAAGGGTAAACCCACACTGCCCGAGTGTGGTCATCCACAATTGTCAAGAAATAGCGGCTGCCTGAGAGGGAAGGGGCTCTTGTGGGCCCCACCACATCCATATGCACAAGTGCAAGTGGGGTCTTGGCTGGTCCTGTAGTGCTGTTGAAGGGGAACTTGGAGAACTTGGTCTCCAAGCATGTAGGGCAGCTCCCAATCTCCTTCACTCCCCCTTTCACCTCCAAGCCCTTCAGGCTCCCATCCTTCACCAACTTCTGCAGCATAGGGAAGTTCACATGACACAGCCTCTCATGCCATGTCTCCCAATCGGCCTCTCCACTCCTTGGTGAAGCCTTAGCCCATGCCGCACTTGCATCCACACCAGCAAGCACCTCACCATGTGTCTGCTGCTTCTGCACTTTCTTGACTGCTTCCAGCACCCCATCAGTTGGTGCAGTTGCATCTCCTCCTGCTGTTGCCTTTGCCACTGCTGCCGTTGCTGCTGTTGGAGTCTTCCCATTCCATGGGATGATGGGCAGCTGCCACAGGTCCTTGATGCAGCTGGTCTCCTCTTCCAGACTCCACAGCACCTTCTTCCCAAGCTTAGCACGGCAGCTGGTTGGTCCAAAGGTCACTTCGGCCTTGCTCTTCTGCAGTCGTTGCACAGAGAGAAGGTTAGCAGACAAGCCTTCAACCAGCAGAACATTCCCAAGCCCCACAAGCTCCCCATTAGCTCCCTTAACCTTGGCATTCCCAACACCAATCACGGGGAGCAAAGCACCTGACGCTGCTGCCACATACTTAATCTTCCCAGGGGGTTTTACCTCATCAAGCAAATCTGCCCGTGGAGTCATGTGACTGGTGCAACCCGAATCAATCACCCAGTGCGTGAGAGGGTGCATCACAACCTTTCCGACAGATCCCACATCACCCTCATGCCCATGCACATCCTCAACCATGAGATACATCCCAGGATAGGCGTTACCTTGTGCACCTTCACCTTGTGCACCTGAGCCTTGCACAGCGCCACCTTGTGCGCGTTCACCACTTGGCGGCTTCATGCCTGGAGGTGACCATCCCTCCAGCCTGCTGAAGCACTTGAACCAAGGATGCCCGACCTTCTTGCAGTACCAGCAGGTGCCCTCCATTCTGGTACTCCCCCTGCCACTAGAGCTCCCATGCCCCTCATTATAGTCACCTCGGCCTCTACCTCTGCCAAAGCTCCTCCCACGGCCTCGGCCTTTCCAACCCCCTCTTCCTCTGCCGCGCCCTGCAGCTCCATACCCCTCAGCAGTCTTAGTGGCAGCACCGCCTCCCACATGGCGTCTGCGGAAGTCCTCCTGCAGAATCTGCTGCCTTAGCCACTCAGGTGTCCATTGATCTTGTTGAGAGTTGAGGGTGGGGATGAGGTTGTCCCAAGAGTTGTCCAACACCGAGATGATCTTGGTGCACTGCTGCAGCTGAGATACACTGCTGCCCGCTGCTGCCATCCTTGCATAGGTGTCCTTGATCTTGTCAAGGACCGGCTTCACATCGTCCCCTGGTCGCATGGAGATGGCAGCAAGTTCCTTCTCGAGCACGATCACCATCAGGAGAGTGTTGGGCTGAATCACATCGCGTAGTAGTTTCCACGCCCTTGGACCCGAATCATCCGCTTCCACAAGATCCTTGATGTGCTCGAACATCTCCTTGTTGACCGATTGAAGGATGAGGTCGAAAAGCACCGTGCTTTTCTCAATCCACCGTTCACGTGCTTCGCCTTCTTCCGGCATCTTCTCTTCCCCAACAGCAATCTTCAGTAGCTTGTAGCGTTTGAAGGCACTCCTCATCCGTCCGCTCCATTCCTCATAGTTGGAGCCATCCAAAGCTTCAACTTTTGATGGCGGCGGCTCACTTGTCTTCTCAGCTACAGCTCCTCTTCCATTAGCATCTCCTCCTCTCTCATTCATCTTCTCCTTGAGAAATGACGAATTTCAGCTCCCCTTTGCTGTCCACACTCAGCTCCCTCGATATTTTCACAAGTGTCGGCGTCCACGAAATTTCGGCAGAGTTTCCCCTTAGCGGAAGACACATCCAACCTTTAGAACACCACTTAGGCACACCCACAGGCCATGGTGGGTCTAGAAGGGTCTTCAAACTTCTGTAGACTCCTCTCAATGTCCTTAATATTGCTCTGATACCACTTGTTAGGATTAAGGACAGAGTCTAGGTGAACTTAGGAGCTAGAATTACTCAAAATATAAATCCGAAATTCTGGACAGAAAAGTCGTCTTCACAAGAAACGACGTCGACAAAACACTAGCCGTTGGAATGTCGCGAAACTTGGATATGTTGTAGCTCTTGATCTCAGCTACCGTTCCCAATTTGAATCACGTTGATTGATGAAGTATTCGCGACGCTATGGCTTTCGACGCACTAGGGGGTAAGCTGTAGGAGGAGAACTTAACTCAATCTCAAGAGTTCAATCAAAGTTCAAGAATCTCACAAGGAATTAGAAGGAGCAAGAGAAAGGTTGGGATAGAAGAGAGGGATGAGAGGGAAGGTCCCAAGAGAGTCCCCAACCAAGGAAACCCCATAAGCACAAAGATTCCCTCCCTATAGGAACCCCAACTTTGACATTTGTCCCTTCCCAACCAATCCATCCAAGTTGGCCACCCTTGCCAACCTAGCTTGGTTGTTCCCAACCAATTTGCAGCTGTTACAGTAGAGTGACGAATTTCCCCAACCCCAAAGGTCCCAACTCCATATAAAGTCACCCCACAACTTCACTTAGTAACCGCCGCAATTGTAACGCAAGCTCATGAACTTTGAATCTTCATAGCTTTCGCGTTCTTGCTCCGATTGAAGCGATTCTTGTTGCGTCGGAAAGATCTTCTCAAGATCTATTATCACAAATACCTGCTCAGACAGAATAACACAAAACACATTCCCAAACTCCAGAACACACCACACAAATTCTTTCACACACAGTCAAACCATACGTGCGAATTGAAACAAGGGATGGGAGGCAGACAGAATGTGATAACATATGATGACATCACACAACAGGCTTTCCTGTCCCGAGCTGCCCTAGGAGATGCGTCGTGCTTCTGAAGTGTCGTCTAATCGCTTGCCGCGATGCGCTAGACATGCAACAGGGTCTCTAATCTCGTATGCCATTACCAGCGCCCACCGTGACGGGTTAGCTACCAAGCGGTGAAGTAAAACAACAGCCAGGTGGCGAGCGGAAACTTGTTGAAACGAACGCCGAATGTGATGGAAGGAGGACTCGTACCCGAATGCTTCGAGTTGCAAGGCCCAGATTAGGTTTCAGTTCACGTGGCAAGACTGTAGAAATCGAACACAACCTGTCACTGACCTCTTCCTATCTGCATCCACTATTTTCGCGAGGTCACTAATTTTAGGTCAACTATGGCGTCTGGAGATCCCAGATCGGCCCTTTACGATGGCATCTCGCTGGTTACCAGTGATATGACTACCACAAACACAATAGCGACGTAAGCACCCCGATATTTGAGTCACCCAATAGTAGCAATTGTGTGTCAAATTCGAGGAAGCTTGTATTGCAGCAGTTTGTCAACCTGGACAAAGTTGAATCCACACGACCAAATTCGCTGGATGGCAAATTTACGCGACCCGATTCAAAGAATTCGGGAACCGACATTTCGCAGATTCCAAAAGGCTGACCTGTCGTGCATCTGTATGTCTGGCATATGTCACGAACGGCGTCGCCACGGAACTTTGCATCTACCCATTTTCATCTTCGCAACGACCCCGCGCCTCGCTGTCCCCAGAATTTGAATATCAATTTCTCAAACATAAATGGCTCCCACTAATCTTCAGAACTCACCGAGCCTGTCACTAGCACTCCCATACTTACCTGCAGCCAGCCCGCTCACCCTAGGCTTCAAGTATGGCTGCTCTCTCCTCCACCACCGCGGCTTCTGCCGCTTCCGCCTTCGTCGCCTCGAGCGCCGAGCTCGCCACGAAGGTGAACAACGTGGAGTGTCGCGTGACGATGGTACGGCCCCGATTGCAACTTGTTCCTGGGCCCCTTCTCCTCGCCTCCCTCGTACCTGAAAGGCGAGTACCCCGGCGACTACGGGTGGGACACGGCGGGTCTGTCGGCGGACCCAGAGACGTTCGCGAAGAACCGCGAGCTGGAGGTGATTCACTCGCGCTGGGCCCTGCTCGGCGCGCTTGGCATCGTGTTCCCCGAGTTTCTGGCGCGCAACGGCGTGCCGCTGGGTGAGGCAGTGTGGTTCAAGGTGGGCGCGCCTTTAGGGCGGGCTCAACTATCTGGGCAACCCCAGCCTCATCCACGCGCAGAGCATCCTTGCCACGCTCGCCGTCCAGGTCAGCTCACCATCCTCGCCACACTCTCCTTCCAGTGCGTCCAAACGCCAAGGTAGGCCGTTTTTTATTATTTTTCCGTCTAGGTGCGTTGAATGAGATCGTATTTTCCAAGTCAATGCATTCCATTTTCTGCCTCGCGTTGTCCACTGCGAGAATAAAATAACAAAAAACGCACGACCCTGACGCAAATTCATGGTTGCAACGTGGTAACCCGACGGCCTCCTACAGGTGGTGCTGCTAGGGTTGGTGGAGAGCTACCGCGTGGGCGGGCTGGAGGGATTCCAGGAGGTGGACGACCCGATCTACCCGGGCGGAGCGTTCGATCCACTGGGGTTGGCGGACGACCCCAAGGCGTTTGCGGAACTGAAGGTGAAGGAGCTGAAGAACGGGCGGCTGGCGCAGGTGTCGGTGCTGGGCTTCTTCGTGCAGGCCATCGTCACCGGCAAGGGGCCCCTCGAGAACCTCGCGGACCACCTCGCCGACCCCGCCGCCAACAACGCCTGGGCCTACGCGCAGAACTTCGTCCCCGGTGCTTAGAGCGGAGCGAGGAGCGCTCCCGGGCGGCTAGTAGTGCTTGGTGGAGGCTGAAAGTTGCTATGATCTTGTGGTGAATTTGCACATACATGTATAGCCAGATTTGGTGTATGTTCATCTCAAAATTCTGGAGTTCAATTTCAACAAGTTCACTGAAATATTTCTAAACCGCCCTGTAGTAAGCGACGCCACAACCAGAGGTCGGCGTCTTAGGAGGCGTGAGTGGGATCAAAGTAACGGCCTCGGAATGGCGCACACGTAGCACTTGGAACTAGCCTGATAGCTTAAAACCCGCGGCCCAAATTGCGAGGCGCGGCCTTCAAACGCAGTGCGTTTGAACGTGGCGTTTTCGCAGGGTGTATTGGGGAGTAACGAGACTCTCGTCACTCAGGGATGCCTTTCAAGTTGAGTGCGGAAGGTAATTTGGAACACCAGGTGCTGAGCCTCTTTCGACCGTCCAGTTTTTACAGATTTTCATCTGACGGCGCGTAAGCAGCCGAAAAGTAATCTCATCCATCAAACTGTGTGTTTGCAAATTTGACGGTTCACGACAAGCGTTCAATTTGCGAGACTAAACGCCCGTGCGATTTCCAGCGTATTTCGTACAAACCGAGGATCAAAGTTCATACGGTACGCAGTGCGTTTGAACAAATTGGGATGCGGGTTTTAAGAAGGAAGAACCAGTCAATAATATAGAGGTGGGTGCAAGATACTCAATGGAATGACCACACAGTTTTTCCCCTCTGGATTTTAAACAAGCAAACAAGTGAGTAATTGCCACATCGGAGCGCGCGCGACTCGAAAAAATAAATCAGACTTTGGGGTTGCGTCTAATTTTTTTTT